TCAAATAAAGAAAAAAATAACAATAACAAATGGAAATAAATAAATAATTCTTTTTAAAAAAAAAAGAAAGAAAGGAATACAACAGGCAAATCTCACTAATGCATGCCCCAAATCCTGACAGGATGAAGAAATTGAGAAGGAACTGCAGTGTGACCATGCCCCATTGGGGGGTGCTTTATCCCTCTCCTCTCTCTTTCTCTCTTGGCAATTACACTTACCCTCTAACAAAAGAAGATAAAGAAACAAAACAAAATTAATTACAGCTTAACAAGTTTGCTAGATGCAAAATACATTTAAAAGGTCAACTGCATGTTATTCTAACAGTAACTATCACTTGAAAAATGTTATAAAAAATACTATTTGCAGTAGCAATAAAATGAGAACTAAACCTAGAAACAAATCTCAAAAGTCTTTGTGATGAAAATTGCACAATTCTATCAAAAAGACATCAATGATCAAAATAAATAAAGAGATATATCACATTTTTAGATAAGAAGACTTAAAATTATAAAATCCTCCCCAAATTGGGGAGAGAGACAGAAAGCAAGAAATCACCCCCCCAGGGGGGATGGCCACGCCACAATCTCTTCTCCTCTATTCTCCTCTTGGGATCTTGGGCATGCACACACACGCACCCGGCGTGAGTTTAAGCCATCAGGTCCGAAACTCAAACTGTGGTTGACTACATGGGAGTTCAGTAACATAGCCATTATGCTAACTGCTGGTACCCCCACTGATTCTTAATCATATGGAAAAACAAACAGCAAGAACAGATAAGAGATTCCTAGATTTGGTTAAGCCCATGTGTTTTGGCAAAGGGATAAATGAAGGACGGAATGGTGTCCCAGAAACAGATCCACTTGTGTATGGGAACCATATGAAGGAAAGGTTGAATTTCTCAACAAATGGTAAGGGAACAGTGGTTATCTATTTGGTGGGGAAACTAAAGTTAGACTCCTACAAGGGAGAAGAATGCATCAAAGCAGAGGGCTGTGAGCCATGCTGAGAACCGCTGAAGGATGCAGGACAGGAGAACAGAGCAGCGCTGGGGTGGCAGAACCATAGCTAGAGACGACCTTCCAGAGAGCAGTTTTAGTTGTGTGGTAGGGATGGAAGCTGGCCTGGCATGGGTTACAAAAACTAGAAGGAAGGAAGGAAATGGGGAGTGTGGCAACTCTGGAGAAATTCTGCTTTGAAGGGGAGCAGAGAAATGGGTGGGGAAGTAGGATCAAGAAAGGGCTTCTGGGCTAGCCCACGTGCTTGAAGTGGTTGGATCCCAGATGGCCAACTGTTCAAGTCCCAGAAGTGACAGATTGAAAAATACCTCAGGCGCATGTGTGTGCATGCCCCAAATCCCAAGAGGAGAATGGAGAAGGAGTTGCAGCGTGGCCATCCTCCCTTGAGGGTATTTTCTGACTTTGTCTCTCTCTCACTGTCTCTGTCTTTCTCAGGCAAGCACACATGCCCTATGGCAAGAATTTTTTTAAAAAGAGAGAGTTTCTTTGGGACTAGACAGTGGTACCACTGTAAAATATGACACTCTACCAGGGTGACCCAGATGGGAAGGTGCAGGTTTTGTGTCTGGAGACCTCCCTGAGTAAACCAGGCACGTGTGCCCATCACATAGGGCTGCCCGAAGCTAGGGTGGGTCGTGCTGCCAATACCGTCAAGGGGCTGTCTGTTTCTCTGTCTCTCTTTGTCTTTATTACACATGGAAAAAAATAATAAGCTAAAAATAAAAACAAACAAACAAAAACTACTCTGTTGCAAATAAAAAAAAGGGAGAGAGAGAAAAAAAAAGTTGCTCTCAGGTGAGATTCTCCATAACAACACAGGAGTGACCAGTGATAGATGGAGTAAAATGCTTTCAGGGGTGAGGAAGAAGGGGATCTGGAGCACAGGTGGAGGCCGCCAAGGGCAGTGAACAGAGATAATTCTGCCACTGTCACAGATTGGGAGGCAGCGAGGACAAGCCCAGGTATAGACAAACAGGGATTTGGAGGTGGGGCTATGAGGAGGCGTTCTGCATGACAAGGTCTGTCTCTGTAGTGAAGTTCAAGGCCGGGTTCATGGATGACAGTAATACTAATGGAGGGAGGTTTAAAGAACAAGCAGGAGCCTTATTCGCTAGCCGTGGAATTGCTGGGGGCCATGCAAAGTGCTTATTTGAGGTTTGTGGCCGTGAATTTACAGCGAAAATATGGTCTTGGTTGTGCGGCTTCTCTCTAGCCCCGTTCAATGGTTCCTGAGCTGGTGGAGAGCTCAGGACTATTGTGCTGAGTGATAGGAACAGAGGATGGGAGGGGCCAGGAAACTGAGTGCTTGCAGGGGCAAGATTAAAAACGATGGCTCTAACCTAGGTAAGGAGAGAAGGCAAGAGGGGAGATGAAGGATGGTGCAAAGGGCCCAGTTCAACAGACTGGACAGTGCCTGGAGGCTGGGGACTGCAGAGTAACGGAGCTGAAAGAGTCACAGGCAGAGGTCAGAGAGCCGGTTGTTTGCAGGGCAGTTCCGACCTCTGATGTGGCCTTAGGCAGTGGCTGCACATGAGGTGCTGCAGGTGAGGATGGCAAAGAACAGAAAGGCCAGACGGTGGACCTAGCTGTCCACGTGGATCTAGAAGCCCAGGGAAAGGTGACAGAAGGTGAGGACAGTGGGCCAGGAGGGAGGGTTTAGGAGATGAGGAGGAGAAACAGGAAGAAGGTCTTCTCCCAGTGATTAGCACGCTGGGCTCAGGTTCTAGGATGGTGAGCCAAGAGCACCTCTTTGGAATTTACAAGGACATTTATTACAATATTTTACTCCCTAAAGGAAATTCAAGAGACCAGCATGGCTATACCCGAAAGGTGAGGGAACAGGCTCAGCAAGGTGACTTGTCTTACCTAACGCCCCCAAGCCAGCAAGCAGGCAGGCCCAGCTCTAGGCACCCTGGGGCCCTGAGCTCAGTTCACCTGGGTAGTTGCGGCAGCCCCCTGCGGTGCTCCCCCGCCGCCAAGTGCCCTCGTAGAGCGTGGTGTTCCAATTGCGGATGGTCCGGCTCTTGAGTGCATCAGGGGTGAGGTTGCAGATCTCCAGGCGAGTGAACTCACGCATGAAATCTCGGAAGGACATCCTGGGGTTCGAAGTGCAGTGGTGAGCCTCAGCCCCCAGTCAAGCCACAGAGGGATGCAGCACGGAATGGGGATGCAGAGATGGTGGGGTGGGGTACAAGGCCTCAAGAGTGGCTTGACCAAGGAGGGACTGCTCACCAGAACTCCCCATCCTCCATCTTGATCCGGAGCTGCTCCCGTTCATAAGGGTCCACGTTGTTCCACTCCGAGGAACTGTGGGAAGCAGGGTGCTGGGTGCTGACCTGCTGGCCTCTGACCCTGGGGCCTGTCTACCCTGGTCTGTTTCCAGCCAAGGTCCAGAGGCCTCCTCAGGGTCAATCCCCAAGGTCCCAGTTGCAGGAGTTTGTCTTATAGGGCAGGGGGCAGATGTCCTGAGCATGACACAGGCTGGGCACAGAGTCCCGCATGGCCTGAGCCTGTCCTTAGACCAGCAACATGAAGGTGAGCTTCTCTGCTCAATCCTCAGTCTACCCAGGGCTGCCAGAGCCCACAGCAGAAATGTCAGTAGCACCTAAGAGCAGCCCCAAGCCTCCCCAGCCAGGGCCCACAGACCCTCACCCATCACTCCAGGCTCCCGTCCACTCCACCTCGCCCCAGGGGTTTCGCATCCGGATCAGGTTCACCATCTGGCCTCGGTAGTTCACCTGTACCCCAGAGTGCCTATTAGCACCGGCTTCTGGCATGCACTTTAATCCCCCTTCCTGGGCCACCTCCCAGACCACCTCACCCTAGCCAAGCCCAGTAAGCACCCAGCATCACACCAGGGCAGTACAGCCATGAAGACTGTCCTCCGGGAATTCATAGCTGCGGGAGTCAGCTATGCACGTGAACCACGCTCAATCAGGGCAGGGCTCCATGAGTATCTCAAGACGTGTGTCCCGAGAGAGAGAGAGAGAAAGAGAGAGAGAGACGGCACTGCTGGAGCTCAAAGGAGGAGCCAGCACCTCCCACAGCCCTGATTGGATGCCAGAAACACAAGGACAGGCAAGCAAGGAAGCCGGAGCTGCCCTGCAGGGAAGGCCTCAGCCCGGCAGTACCTGCTTGGCCCCAGTCACAGAGTAGGCGTGGCCCTTCACCAGCTTCTTGAATGTGACGGCCTCCATGTCCAGAACACTGGAGATCTGTAGAAAGTCACACGCACTGGGGTCAAGGGCCAGGACCCCCACTCCGTCAGAAGATCGCCAAGTAATTATGAATCTAGGACATTCCCTTCTGCACACAGAACAGCTATTGGGAGCAGCAGGGAGGGACTCTGATCCCATCTAGTCTGTCGCCCCCATGCAGAGACACTGCTTGCTCCCTGGTGGGAGGTGGGAGAGGCAGGGTGTTGCCACTAGGTGAGGAAGCCTGGGAAACCAGAGACACTGCCACTGACCAAGGCTGACCTGACTCTGTGTGAACACACATGTGCACATACATATAGCCATGCACGAGGCCCACCAGTGTGGCAGAAGATAGAGGTGAGGGGTGACGTCAAGACAGAGCTAGTTAGGAAGGGAGAAAAGCAGACTGAGGTTAGAGTTGAGGATTGCAGTGACATCAGGGGTGAAGTCAGAGAGCAAGAATGAGGGAGGTCTGGAAAGGAGCTGTGGGAACAGAGGAACAGGAAAGATGGAAATGCAGTGTGGGAATGAGCTAAGAGAGGGTGAGAGCTGAGACCAGAAAAGGGAAGACATCTGATGTCACCTGGACAGTAGACAGCTCAGACTGACATGACAGCAATAAGGTAGGAACAGAGCAGACGGACGACCGAGAAAACAAGTGTGGGAAGAGCTGAGACTTGAGGTTTGGGGGGAGAGCCGGGGGTAGGGACAGGAATGACGTCAGGCATGGAGGTGGCAGATGGGACTGAAGTGATAAAGGTTGGGTATGCATCCAGAGATGGTGCTGAGGTGGAGGACTAGGGTCTGGAGGCAAGCCTGGGGTGAGAAACAAGCTAGGACTGGGCTGGGGAGAGGGAACTGCTGGAAGCCAAGCCAGACTGGGGTACCCAGGTAGGATGTGAGAGTAGAGGCCGGGGCACACTCACATCAATGGAGCAGCCCAGTAGGGAGCCTCGCTCCAGCGCCTTGAGGATGATGTTGTAGAGGTCGCTGGGTGCCTTGCGCAGCTCATACCACTCAGTGACCCCACCCGTGAAGTCCTCAAAGCCCTCTGAGGTGCTGCCCCCTGACAGGGCCTCGTAGCTGCCATTCACCCTGTGAACAATTCCGAGTCAGCACTCTAGGTATCTAGGTGAGGGGGCCAGAAACCCCTACCCCTGGGGGGTGCTGGAGATGTCCCCTGGGACCCTACTCACTTGGCATAGGCCTTCTCCAGCAAGGCGCTCCAGAACTCATTGCCTTGGGCAGAGTGCACGAACACCAGCTTCCCATCCTTGGTGGGCAGAAGGTCATCCACGACCACATCTACCCACTCCCCAAACTGCCACAGCTGTGGGGGAAGAGGTACAGTGAATACCTGCTTTGGGAACCCCCAGGCCTAAACTCTGTCCTCTGCTCTGCCACTTACTAAATGTGTGATTCAAGATCACATACACTAGATATATACTAAATGTAGGTATACTAGAGCACGTATACTAGTTCGTGGGAAAATAGGATTAAAGTACAAGTTTATCTTGATGCAAAAATTTCTTGAAATCCATGCATAGTTTCTTTCTTTTTTTTTTTTAAATAGATGCATTTTCTATAAACTTTTAAAAGACCCCTTATAGGGATCAGCAGTTAGCATAATGGCTATGTCACCAAACTCCCATGTAGCCGACCACAGTTCGAGTCCCGGACCCGGTGGCTTAAATTCACGCCAGGTGCGTGTGCGTGCCCAAGATCCTGAGAGGAGAAAGGAGGAGAAGGGATTGCAGAGTGGCCATGCCCCCTGGGGAGTGATTTCTCGCTTTCTATCTCTCTGTCTCTCTCTGGTGTTGTGGCGAGCACATGCGCCCTATAGCAAAAAAAAAAAAAAAAAGACCCCTTATATATATATCAGATGCATGTGTTCTAGGCATATACTATTTAGATACATGCATACTAAATATATATAGTCAGCCATCTGAATCTGTCAGTTCTACATCTTCAAATTCAACCAACCATAAATTGAAAACATTTGGGGGAGGGGGAAAAAAACCCCTCAGATGACAGTAAAGAATAATAAAAAACAATATAGTGGGACTAGTAGATGACATAATGGCTATGTCACTGGACTCCCATGTAGTCAACTGTAGTTCAAGTCCTGGACCCGGTGGCTTAAACTCATGCCGGGTGCATCAGCGTGCATACCCAAGATACTGACAGGAGAATGGAAAAGAAGGGATTGCGACATGGCCATCCCCCCGGGGGGGTGTGTGTGGTGATTTCTTGCTTTCTATCTCTCTGCCTCTCTGGCAAGCGCATGCACCCTATAACTAAAAAACTCTTAAAAGAAAATAATAAAATAAATAAAGTATATGGGCCAGCAGATGGAGTGGTGGTTAAGGCACTGGACTCCCACATGGCTGACCATGGTTCAAGTCCTGGACCTGGTAGCTTTCTTTCTCACTTTTTCTCTCTCTCTGTCTGTCTGTCTTTATCTGGTGAATCCATATGTCCTAAAGCAAATTAAAAATAATAATAATAATTAATAAAATTAAATAAATAATTATTTCCCCCAAAATAATTAAAAAGTAAATTTATGGAAAGATGTATGTTATGTGAAAATAACTATACTATTTTACATAAGAGAGTTGCACATCTATAGATTTCGGTATCTGTGAGAGGGGTCCTGAAACCATTCCCTATCAATAGTGAGACGACTGCACCTAGATAATGTATACTAGAAATATACTAAATACACGTACAATGATATATACTAAATTCATGATCCTGGCAAGTTATCCTCTCTGAGCCTCAGTTTCCCTATCCACAAAAGGGATCAGCAGTGCCTTCCTCACTGGAGAGTTAAATAAGATCACGCAGGTAGAGTCCTCACCGTAGCACTGAAACAGACCAAGGTGGCCCTCTCAGGTATGAAGAGGTTGGAAAGCTCCGAAGCCTGGGCTCTCTCCACACCAGCCCCCTTTTAGGCCATGCATCCTAATCCACCCTCCATTCTAGGCCAGGGTGTGGGGGGTTATAGGATAGATAAGTAAATTGTGTGGAATGAAAATGTGGCATCCGGATCCCTCAGTCACAAAGTAGGCAGGGCTGGCTCCCTCAATCACAAGATTTGGAGATGCCAGAAGGAGCAGATTCCCCACGGGAAAGACAGATTCCCCAGGGTAAGAGTTGGGGCTGGGGCCCTGGAGGGGCTTGGGCTAGAATAACCGGGAAAGGAGACGAGCAGACCCAAGGAACGCAGGTTGCGGGTAATGTTAAACCAGCCAATCAGAGGTCGAGGAGGGGCAGATTGGAGGAGCGAGGGAAGAAGGCGGGGAAAGGGGCGGCAAGACCACGCCCCTGTGGACCAGCACCAGGCAGGTGCTGCACTTGGCCAAAGGGGCTGGGCACCACAGGGTGGATCCTGGGGGCTATCTCCTCCTGCGTTAAGGAGGGGCAAGGATAGAGTAGGATGAAAGATTCCCTGAGTAGGCAGAAGGAGAGAATGCCCAGGAGTCCTCCGATGAGCGTTTAAGGTCCCCAATGCCAGAGGGTCTCATCTAGGTCTCAGCCACACTGAAAATTAGTGTGACTTGAAAAATGGGCCATGTGCATAAACGACGTCAGAAAAAGCCATTTTAAGTAGACTTAATCCCGGGTATTTGTTTTCTGCTGTGCTCAGTCAGAGGTTGCCAAAGGGCAGGAGGAAGTAAGGGGTAGACAGGTGGAGATGGCCATATGGGCTGGTCGATTTTCCCCAGCAGATACTCCTTTTTCATATGGGGAAACTGAGCAAACGGAGGCCTGGGAAGAAAAGGGATTTGACCCACAGGTTATAACACAGAAGTCTTTCTACTCCCTGATACGCAAAACCACCCAGGAAAATTGCCAGCTGTAAAACCTGCCCAGTCGTTTCACACATGACAGACCCATGATGGCACTGAGAGGTCAAATACCTTCTAGAGGGAGGGCTGGCCCCACAAGGTGTGGCCCTTGGCTACCCTAACTTCAGAGTGCTGTAGGTCATCCTTCATCTCCCCCAGTATCTGCTACCCCTCTTCCCCAGCCAGACGTAGGGCCCCTCACCTGGAAGTGGAAGATGCCAGCATACCCATTCTGGAAGCTCTGGCCATGTGGAACCACTCGGTGCAGGAGGGTGTCATTGAGGGTCAGGGAGGCGATGGCAGCCAGGAGCCAACAGTCCCCTGGGATAAAAGGGGCCCACGTCACACCTTCCCTATCAGTGTGCCCTGTGGGTACACGTGGGTGTGCATGCTGGGGAGAACCCATGGGTGTGCGTGCTAGGGAGAACCCGGGACTCCCTGGGGGGGGGATACCCCTCGTGTCCCCTCAGCTTACAGAAAAGACCCAGGAATCTGGTCAAACCAGCCCCAGTGCTGATAGCCAGAGCCAGTCTGGGCTTGCCAGAGGGAGGAGTTGGGGCTGAGCCCAAAGAACCGGGAATGGGGAACTACTGTGGAAAACACACCCAGATCCTCACCCCTGGGGGCCTACCCAGCGCTCCCTGGCAGATGTCTGTGCGGGTGGCTCCATCCACGATGAACTGGGGGTTTGACAGCAGCTCCTACGGAAGACTCAGAGTCTTGTTCCTGGGTTGACACCTCCCAGAAACACACCCAGCCACCGTGACTCTGCTCCCCCTCAGGGACCTTAAGTCCCATCTCCAGTTCTCACTCCGGAGGGTCGGAGGGTCGGCTCCCAGGTGGTCCCTCTCACCGTGGGGCGCTTCCACTTGATGCCATAAGTCTTGGAAGAGTTGGGGCCCAGGTCCTTGAAGCCCAGGCTCTGGGGCACTGGGGGGAAGGCTTCGTCCCGGAAGAGGGCCCCACTCTGCAGGCAGTGCATCCGCAGCTGCTCATAGTCCTGGCCCAGGTACTTGATGGCGTTCTCATGGCGGCCCAGGCCCAGCTCCTTGGCCCGCTGCTTCTGCACTTGTGCAGACACCCCTGTGCAGTACACTGGGGTGATGATCTCCTCAGCCATCCTGCGGATTGGATGGCTTGCTCAGAAGAACCCAGGCCTTCCAGGACTAGACACCAGGCATCCGCTTAATGCGGCTACACCCTAGTCTCTGCCCAACCCACCTCCCCAGACCTGGGGTTCCAGGCCTCATTGCTCTACTTACAGAATTCAGGGCACTCGACCACCTCCCTGTGCTCCCAGACTTCAGGAAACGGGCTCCCTAGTTCCCAGGAGTGCTGGCCACCACCTCCCTACCCCCAAGCAATGCCACCATCTCTCTTCTCCCGACTTCCATTGTCTTAAGCCTGCAGCTCTGCAGTCAGCCAGACAGACGGCCAGGTGGGGCAGGGCGGAGCCCGGTGATAACACAGGGAAGTGGGAAGGTGGGCGACCCCCAAGAAGACCTCTTTGACCGGTTTGCCTGCCTGTAACCCCCTCTCCCAAGTAGCCAGGCTCCTAGTTCACTAGCCCTTTTCCCTAGCTTGGGGGCTGAAATCTCCAGGCACTGGGCAGCGGGGGTTTCCTTCCCCAGACCGATGAGACAGGCTGGAAGATCAGAGCTGCCGGGCACTAGCCCAGCCGGGAGACCGCGGAGACCACAGGCTAAGGCAGGCGCCTGGGCTGCGCTGCTTCCCGAGCCCCCGCCCCAGTCCCAGACAACGCAGAGGGCTCCGAGTAAGGGCCGAGCTGGGGCACCCCCTCACCCCAAGGGCAGTGGCCCGAGTCAGGGAATCCCGGGCGGGCCACTCAGATCCTTACCTGGGGGAGGGGTGTTGGGGGGGTTCGCTGCGGTCCCGGCGGCTGGCTTCCCCAGTGGCAGCTCAGGGCAGGGCCCAACCAGGAAGAGCGCTCCTCCCCGCCCTCCTCCCGCCGCCCCTCGGTCCTCGTCCCTCCCTCCTTCGTTCTCCTCCTCCTCGGGCTCCTCCCCGCTTCCTCTCCGCTCTCCTTTATCTCTCCCGCACGGTCTCCGACTATCTCTTACTCACGGTGTCTCCCCGCCCCTCCCTCTGCAGGCCAGGGGCCAATTCCGCGAGAGGACAAATTAGTAAAAGGCAGAGTTGCCCCTGGGGAGGGGCCAGCGTCTGTCCGGGTGGGGAGGGCAGGGCCTGGACAGAGGGCACTGCGGGGGAGGGGAGGGTGACAAGAAGGTAGGGCAGGGGGTATTTTTAACCAGGACCAGCAGCTCGAGTTGCAGGGCCGGTGGGCCCACCCAAGCCGAGCACTCTGCGGGCGTTGCCCT